TTTTTTTATTTTTTTTTTCAGGATTTTTGTTGTTATTTGTTTGTTTCTTTGTTTTTGTTTCTATCTAGCATCCTTAGTTGGTGTTGCTGCTTTAGGACATACAGTGAGAATATAGTAAGAATAGAATAGCCAGGTTATGAGAGTGTAGTGGGGCCTCTCAACCAGCTCCTCCTTTAGGAGTACACTCACATGCCACTATTGAATTCTTTTTTTTTTTTTTGTAACAGAGATTGAACTCAGGGGCACTCAACCACTGAGCCACATCTCCAGCCTTATTTTGTATTTTATTTAGAAACAGGGTCTCACTGAGTTGTTTAGCACCTTCCTATGCTGCTGAAGTTGACTTTGAACTCACAATCTTCCTGCCTCCTGATCCTCCCGCCTCCCAAGTTGCTGGGATTAAAACATGTACCACTGCATCTGGCTCCACTATTGGATTTTGAGGAACATTCAGCAGAGCAGTGAAACTGGCCTGACTTGTCATCACAGGGCCAAAGGAGACAGTGATAGCCCTGCCATAGGTAGAGTGGAGCATGGCCCACATTGTATCTGAAGTGGATATCATGAAGACCATGGAACACTCAAATGGGATCAGGTGTTTTGCATTGTTGAAGCCTTGATAATGTCAGTGTTGTGGCAGAGTATGTGAGGGGAAGCTGCTGTGCCACCTCCCAGACACCACTGGCACACAGGTGGAGGAGGCCRGAGAGTGTTCTGGAGATCACATGCACTATGCACAACTGCCATGAGAAGGGCATCCCGCACAGAGACCTGAAGCCAGAGGACATCCTGGTGGATGCAGGAGGCAACATCAAACTCTGCAACTTCGTCCTGGCGTGCAGGTTCACTGTCCAACAAACTCTACCTCTGGGAAGAATAGGACAGTCTTACAATGGACTCTAGAACCTCTGATGTACAGGGTGTCCTCCTGTACTTCATGCTCATGGGGTGCCTCCCATTTAACGGAATCATCGCTATGCAGATGAGGGAGCAAGTCCTGCACCCAAGGTATGGCATTTCCTCTCACCTGTCCACCAAAGAGGGAAGTCTCATCACTCAAATCCTGACTGTGTACCCCATACAGAGACTCACAGRAGATGAGGTCACCCTTCTCTGAGCCCTATGGGTGAGGAATATTCCTCAAATCATTCTAGCAAGCCACTGGACCTCTCGATATGAGGGTCATATCTGACATGGGTTACAGCCCATGTGTTACYGGGCTATCCTTGGTCACCAGAAAGCTTGATGAGACAATGGCTACATATCTGATGCTCCAGCTCCAGACAACCCAGAGGACAGATTGCATTGTCCAATTAAGTGTGTGCATCCAGAGGCTGGGCCTTGCCCATCTCCCTCCAACTTCACTTTCCACCCAAAGAAGAGCACCAGGGAGCCTTTCCTTTGCTCCTTCCCCTTCTTATCCCATGAGCATCAGCTGTCTGAGAAGGACAGTCCTTCAGGGCTGAAGGGCAGCAGAAGAGCCAGTCAGCCTACCATTCCTGCAGCCTACAAGCAAGGGAGGACCCTTACCCCCAGCATAGCTTCCCAGCATACCCTTGCAGCCCCTGGATGAGCAGCAGTGGGTGAGAGGCAGAGAACAGGAAGTCTACCCAGGATACATCATCAGAAGAAGGCTCCTCCACCAAGACCCCCATAATGGGACCACAGCCCCTCCCCCTAACACAGCAAGGGCAGTGAATAGGAAGATGGCCACCTGTATTCTCCAAATACGTTGCTATGTGCCAGCCCAAACGACAGGCCCTGGACTCAGAAACAAAGAGGCTCAATGAAATTGAACAGCTGAGTTACCCGCAAAACCAAGGAGGTGAGGCAGCCCAGCCTTTTATTTTTTCCATAAGCTTTTATTGATGTCATTTGCAATTGGCACATCATAACTGTATGCATTTGTGGGGTACAATGATGTTTAGAGAAATCTATTCACATGATGAACTCATGCTTATTAACATATCCGTCTCCTCAGGAAGATGGGTCACAAGGTATCTCATTTATGTGGAACAGCTGCCATAGGGAGCTGTGGAGCTGTGCGAGTGTGGCTTTCTCATGAATTCCAGTCGTGAGACCATCTGGAACCACCTAAAGACAAGGGGGCTCTACCTCCTCACCTGGAAGAGACATTGAGACTGTTTTTCCTTGGGACACTTCCCCTGCCCTGCTCTTCTCTGTCCTTTCCTCCATGTTTCTGGGATCACAGAGATGGTTCTTAATAAATCTGTTTCTCATAAATCTTATAGAGAATTTATGCTCCAAAAATGTTCATAGATATTTCACTGTTTTGCATCCTCCTTGCAGAGTTGGAACTGGGCACACGTCAGTGTGAGCAGCAGGTAGTAATGTAGGACCGGGAGCTCATCCAAAACCTAAAGAGAAAAGTGACTTCAGAGATCTACCAACATCCCCCAACAGCAACAAATGATTCAAAGTGCTTCTGAAGGGACAAGATTATGAGCTTTGGTGGGGTGGACAGGGGAAAGAAATACAGACCCTGAGTGTATTCTGACACTGCTGTTACCTGGTTACCGTTTTCAGAAGGGAACTATTGACAGACAGTGCTGTCAGTCTGGTTCATTCTGCGGAGAAATCCCTGTAGCATAAGGAAGTCCTCTGAAGCAGACTTTGTTGGGAGCCAGGGAAATGGCAGGGTGCCTTTCCCAGAGCTGCTGCTCAGTTCCTGATTGTATCGTGCAAGAAACTCAGTCTTCCCTCTGGTGATGTTTTCTCCTTCTAGAGCACTGGCATGAGACAGTCCCTCTGAGAGGCCTGACCCAGGTCAGGGCCCTTCAGCCAACCTGAGATTCCAAGGGGTGCTGAGCAGCAAACCAGCTATCCTAGGAATCAGAGGGAGGATGTATGGCAAGAGAGAGCAGCCTGGAAGAGTGGAGCSTGGCAGGAAGGCATATTGCAGGCTCCCAGGTACAGGTGTTTCCATTGTGGGCAGTGAATGTGTGGTTTGAGAAACCCATCAGGGAATTTCCTTCCGGTTCCTAAGGAGCCTAAGGAAAGCCAGGCCTTGACTGGCAGGGCCAGCGGCTGCCTCTTCTCTCCCTCAAACTCAATTGCGCAGGAAAGGCTGTGAGTTTTGTTCTCAAGAGCAGGGAATCTGCTGGAGGATCCAGCAGGGACTGAGGGCCTCAATCATCATTCCACAATGTGCATCTGACTGGGTCTGCACCGTGGGCTCCTGGTGGCAGAGTGGAAGCAGAAAGCCCCAGAGTCATCCCTGAGAGAGGAGACCTGAAGCAGGAGGAGAGAGAGGTTGAGGAGGGGGCAGAGAGGGAGGCAGAGGAGGAGAGGGAGGGATGCAGGGGAAGTGAAAGGAGAGGAAGCCCAGAACAGCAGCTGGAAGGCAGCTTCTGCAGGATTGGCAGAGGGTGTGGCTGCCTCAGGAAAGAGGGAGGAAAGAATTGAAAACACTGGGTTTTTGAAGGAGGCGGGCAGGGGACAGCTCACAATTTGCTGATCAGGAGAGGACGGAAGAGGCAGCTGAAACAGTGAAAAGCATGAGGGACTGGGGACCCAGGGAGCCAGTGAGGCCTCAACAGAAAGCATCAGCATTTCCCTGTGGGATCCAAACTCCTTCCAACCTGTTCTATGAGATTGACTATAAGATCTACCTGATTTTCTTTATTCTTTTTAATATGGGGCAATTGAAAATAAATACTGGGGCTGTGGCTGTAGCTCCAAGGTAGAGAGCCTGGCTAGCACATGTGAAGCACTGGGTTCGATCCTCGGCACGGCATAAAAAATAAATAAATAAAAAGATATTGTATCCATCTACAACTAAAAACTTTAAAAGAGAAAAGAAAATGAATGCTGCAGGAAACACTTGGTACATARATCTTTGCCAGCAACTCTGATTTGCTTCATAATATCCCAGAGGCAAAGTTACTGGATAAAGGCTATGTACATTTGACAGCTCCTTAATATCTGTTTTTAAAAAAAATATTTTTTTTAGATGTAGTTGAACACGATACCTTTATTTTATTTAATTATTTTTATGTGGTGCTGAGGATCGAACCCAGGGCTTCGGGCATGCTAAGCAAACCCTTTACCACTGAGCCACAACCCCAGCCCACTTTTTTTTTTCTTTCTTTCTTTCCCCTCTATGTGGGATGACTGATCTGAGCCTGCGAGGAGCAAGCTGGCCCCAGACTTCCCCGAATCCACAATTCTTTTCCTCCATTTCTTACATGTCCAAAGGCAGGGAACCAAAGACACGCCTTTGTAGGAGGGTTCCTTAATATCTATTGCAAACTGATGTAATGCCACAGAGAAGTAGTACCATATATATTTATCCAAGAGCAGCGTGGAAGAGCATTGGTCTCCGTGCATTCTTGCCCCTGAGATATCAGACTTGACCTGAATCCTTGTCAGTGGATACGCAAGAAGTATTACTTAATGCCCAAATTAGACGTAATGTCCACAGGGGTTGCATTAGTGGAGAACAGATTTGGAGAATCCTTTTGATGGGTTTCGATATGATTTTCCTGTCTCATGGATGCATTCTTTCCCACAACATTACCTTGGGGGTGGATACAGGTGTGGATGCCTCCAGTCCTGTACCTGTGCAGACTCTCCTGTGGTGTGGAATCTCCCCCTCACCCTCCTCCTGCCCCCATTCTGAACTTTATTTGTGTTCCTCCAGGTTTCTGATCTGTCACTTCCTCCACCCAGGGAACATCAGGGCTGGAGATGGAGTTTCACCAGGCATCTGCCAGGAAATCTAATTCATGATACCCTCTGGCCTGTGATTTTCAGCCAAAATGATGAATTGCTCAATGCAATTTATCTGACTGCCAAACTCCCACACAATGTGAACTCTGGTAAAGAGTGGGTAGGAGTGGGAAGGAATGTCACAGGGGTATGATGGGGACATCCTCCTGTCTCCCAGTAGCACTCCCAATATCATCCTCCCTTAGAGCACTGTGTTTGCATTCTGTCTCTGTGATATATACTTTAGAGAGCTTATAAGGAGGACAGGTTTATCTTGGCTCAGTTTCAGCGTTTTCAGTCCATGATTGGATGGCCCTTGATATTTTGTGCCTGTGGCAGCATAGCACATCCTAGAGGGAGCATTGGTAGAGTAAGCTGCTCACCTCCTGGACACCAGGAAACAGACAGGAAGTGGTGGGCATTCCATACCCCCCTTCCACGCCCCCAGTGACCTCGCTTCTTTCCACTAGGCCCATCTCCTAAATGTTCTACCTCTCAATAGCACCACAGCTGAAGCTGCCTTTTTAACATTTGAGATCCAAATGACAACAAACATCCACCACTTGACCTGCTCTTTCCTGAGGTCCTGTCTTTTCTCTTGGCACTTTCCTTGGCTTGCACAAACCATACCTTCTGGCAACTTCCTGAGAGAGGAAGAACACAAGGGAGGTAAATCACGGGCCTTTGTACATAATACATAATCACGGGCCTTTGTACTTTAATTTCATATTAACATCAGACTGACAATTGGGTTGATTTTAGATGTCCTGTTCAAAATCATTTCTCAGAAAATATTTTTTACAGTATCGATGGCCTTGGCCATTTCTATYTGAGCTCCCAGTGTTGCTCATGAAAATATGAAACCACTGTGGCTTCTTTTTTTTTAAAAAAAAGAGAGAGGTGAGAGAGAGAGAGAGAGAGAATTTTTAATATTTATTTTTTAGTTTTTGGCGGACACAACATCTTTGTTTGTATGTGGTGCTGAGGATCAAACCCAGGCCGCAGGCATGCCAGGCATGGCGAGCTACCGCTTGAGCCACATCCCCAGCCCTAATTCATTCATGTAACCAATGTTTTCCCTTGGAAGCTTGTGTTATCTTCTCTTTGTCTCCAAGGTTCTAAATTTCAAAATGATTTTCCTCATTTTGAGTCTGTTTTGATTCTTTGCATTGAATTTTGGACAGATCTCTTTAATCCAGAAATTTCTTTTTCTCTAAAAATTTCCCCCAATTATTCCATTGACAATTTCCTCCATCATGTTCTTTTTGGGAATTCTTTTATTCACTCATTGGACTAGTCCTTAAAACCTCTGCYCCACAGCTGGGTATGATGGTGACACCTGTCATCCCAACAATACAGGAGGATTGCAAGTTTGAGACCAACCTCAGCAACTTCGAAAGACCCTGTCTCAGAATAAAATAAGGATGTCTAGGGGTATAGCTCCATGGCAGAGTGCTTGCCTAGCATGCTTAAGGCCCCAGGTTCCATGCTCAGCACCACACACACACACACACACACACACACACACACACACCTCTGCTCTATTTTCTGGGAGATTTCCTCATTTTGCTTCCAAATCTTCAATTGAGGTCCTCATTATTAGCTAGATTTCTCCCCCTAAGCATTCTTTGTTTTCATAGTATCCACTTCTTGTTTTGTGGATACTGACCTTTTCTCACCTCTTTGAGGACGTGGATAGAGCTTTTTAATTTTATTTGTACTGGGGATTGAACACAGGAGTGCTTTACCACCAAGTGATATCCCAGCCCCTCACCTTTTTTTTCCTTTAAGACAGGGTCTCATGTTTTTGAGTGTCTCACTAAGTTGCCCAGGCTGGCCTCGAACTTGGGATCCTCCTGCCTCAGTCTCCTAAATTGCTGGGATTATAGGCATTACAGGCGTGTGCCACCATACCTAAAGGATAGAGCTTGCTTTTTATTTATTTATTTTTTTTATGGTGCTGGGGACTGAACCCAGGGCCTTGTGCATGTGAGACAAGCACTCTACCAACTGAGCTATATCCCCAGCCCAGGATAGAGCTTTTAACGTTCTCTTCCTTGCAAGGTTTTTGTTTCCTCCTTGTTTTTCTAGTATTGCCTCTGATCTTTACCTTCCACAATGTGGATTTTCCACAGAAATGTTAACCATTGGTCCAGTGCTTTTGTTTAAGAGTTGGACTGAAAGGCTGATTCAGGGCTGAGACTTGTGTGACGCTGTCACTCTGATGAGCGGTGATCAACCTGGGCTGAGAATCCTGATAACAGGACCTTAGGTCTTTCCTCTTGAGCAGATTCCTTCCCCAGAGCAGGGCCTTCCAATCTCCTCTCCTCCTAAGGGACGAATAAGGAATGTGGTGTTGAGGGCCACAGCCGAGTCGGGATGACGCATGGCATTTTTGCCAGAAGTAGTGGTTGAGAGGTGACACTAGCGAGCCATTAAGATGATGACTTTTGAGTTCTAGTGAAGTTCCCATTGAGTTCCACTTGAGCTCTCTCGGGGATTCCCGGAGAGTTCCCATTGGTTGGGGAAGTGCCGAGGAGGGATATTTCTGGTTGCTGGTTTCTGGAGGAGCCGCATGGCGTTGGGGGGGAGGGGGTCCCAGGAGCATGTGTGGAGTGTGCTGGTGGAGTTCAGAAATAAAGTTGTTCCTGCTTCAGTGGCTCGTGATTTGTGTCCAGCCAGACTGCAGCAATGTGGGATGGAGTATCCTCATCTTTAGTTCACCTCCAATTTCTTAACTTGCCTTTTTCCAGCATCAGTCTGTTGCCTAACAAATCTTTCTTYCAGTCTTTCAAAACAATAAATCTTCAAATCAATGCTGGGGTGAATAGGGGMAGTTGCCTGGAAGGATTGACTTGGAAAGGGGAAGAGTTAACCTGCTGCTCCCCAGCCTCCTCACACTCATCCTCCGCCCCTGAGCTGTCCTGTCTTCCCAGGTCTAGAGGTCCCAGCCTTTCCAGGACCTGAGCCATTTGAGAATCCCATAGTATGAAGAAGATTGTTTCTCTACTGAYAGTTTAGGGTTTGACTCTGCTATGTTAGTGGCCACTTGTCCACCTGTTTGTGGTCTCTTTTCTATCCTGTTCTCCTCAACATTAAGAATTGGTTTAACTTTGGGGCTGAGGCTGTAGCTCAGTGGCAGAGTGTTTGCCCAGCATGAGTGAGGCACTGGGTTCCATCCTTAGCACCACATAAACATAAGCAAATAAAATAAAGGCATTCTGTTCATCTACAACTACCAAAAAAAATTTTACACCTGTAATCTCAGCAAATCTCTTAGCACGGTGTCCTCTTCATGTTCATGTTCAATCTTGTTTTGGCGGGGAGGGGTACAGGGGATTGAACCCAGGGGCACTCGACCACTGAGCCCCATCCCCAGCCCCTATTTTGTATTTTATTTAGAGACAAGATTTCACTGAGTTGCTTAGCACCTCACTGTTGCTGAGGCTGGCTTTGAACTAACGATCCTCCTGTCTCATCCTCCTAAACTGCTAGGATTACAGGCTTGCACCACTGCACCCAGACTCATGTTCAGTCTTGATAAGTTAATATTTTTCCAAGCTGGCCCTGCCACTGGCCATCTTGCAGTAAGACTCCAGACTTTCCAGACTTTTGTGCAAATGGGGTTCATGTGATCACTTGGCTCTTACACTAGAGTGATGGCTTTGGGAATTCTACGGGTCTCAAGGAAGCATTTGTGTATTTTACATGTGTTTCATAGTGCAATGGTGAGGTTGACATGGCCTAAACTTGGACTTTAGGCTGTTTTGCTTTTGAGTCATAATTAAAAGTCAAAAGTAATTTATTTTTGTTATTGTTAGTGCTGTAGATACATCAACTTTTTTTGAGGTTTTTGGTTGGTTGGTTGGCTGGTTGGTTTGTTTTTGTTTTTCTGGTACTGAGGATTGAACTCAAGGGTGCTTTGCCACTGAGCTACATCCCCAGGTCCCCCCCACCCCTGTCTTGAGAAAGGGTTTCACTAGGTTGCTTACAGCCTCACTAACTTGCTGAGGCTGGCTTCCAACCTGCAATCCTCCTGCCTCAGCCTCCCGAGTCACTGGGATGATGAAATAGGAATGGATAAGGAATGAGAAAGGGAAAGTACTGGAGAATAAAATTGACTGGGGGATGGGTTTATGGCTCAGCGACAGAKCGTTCACCTTGCACGTGCGAGGCCCTAGGTTCAATCCTCAGCACCACATAAAAATAAATAAAGATATTGTTTCCAACTAAAAAATAAATATTTGAAAATAAATAAAATTGACCAAGTTATATTGTGTGCATATATGAAAAATCACAATGAATCCCACTGTTATATATAATYATAATGTGCTATTTTTTTWAAAAAGGGAGAAACTGCAGGAAATTCACTGGACTGTTTGGAGAGTTAAAACAGTTGTCACATTGATGCACATAAAAGAATGCCTGACATAGAAGATGCATTAAATATTATCTGTCTCAATCATTCTTCTTAGGACACTATTTCTGATAGAGTAGATAAAGACCAATAATCAAAATAT